CCTGCCGTTAATGCAGCACCCTGGGGCTGGCGACTCCTGGAGCCCAGGTCCCTTCTCGTGAGTGACTTCAGCGTCTTGGCTTAATCTCTTAGTTATAAAATTGAGAACCTGATTGCCTGTGGTCACTGAAGATCTTAAGAAGGTATTAAAGAAGGGCAAGTCATTAGCCCTGGGGTTTTGATTGGTTTCCAGCTCTCGGTATTACCTTCATCCTTCCCTAAATGCCCTGCCGTGGCTTCAAACAGCTAAAGCAACCACCTCGGCCGAAAATCCCTGGGATCACGGACACCGGCCATCTGGGCACTGATCCTGCCCGGGCAGAAAGCAGCCCCATGCCTCACACAGCCCCCTGCCCACCCAGTGCGCAGTGCGAGCCGGGGGGCCTTCTCCTGAAAGCATCTCAGGCTGCTTCGGGGATCTTGCTTCTCCGAAGTCATTAGTCCTCGCTAATCCTGCTTTGTCGAGCACCAGGTGGGGGGAGGGTGGCTTAGAAAATCAGCCTGGCACTTAATGAGCCAATTAATGCAAAATTCGCTGTCACTAAGAGGATGATGACAAGGTTTTATCTCACGGGAGCGTGGCACTGGGCCAGGGAGGATGCTGTCCCCTGGGATGCTGTCCCGGGGCCTCGGTGTTTGCAGCAGGACAGGGTGGAGGGCGGATTTTGCATGGCCCCCCTGCCTTGAGAAGCCCCCCGTAATTCATTGCAGGACAGGGCGATCGATGGGAAACGCTGTGATGTGGCTGCGGCTGGCAGACCCCCCCAAGGTGTGTCCCCAAAGCCCGGCTCCTCTTGGGCTTTGAGGATCCCAAGGGGATCCCGGGATATCTGAGCATGCCGTGAACTCCTCGCAGGTCTGAGCTGCTGACTTTCGGGGTGCTGCCCTCCCCTTGCCAGGTCAGATGTCTCCTGTCCTTCCCTGCGCATGGACAGTCGTCCTCTTGTCCGTCCTGCCTTGCCTCCCCTGCCCCTCTCCTGGGGCTGGCCCTGCCTCGGCCTGAGGCTGTGCTGTCTGCTGGGCTTTTTCCTTGTTGGGGACCTTCTCGCATTCACCATGTGCCTCCCCACGGAGCTACTCACTTCTCTTCTTGCAGGGACAACGGCTTTTTCGTGGCCACTGCACCATCCTTCGTCATCTGGCTCTGGGAATGGAAAATCCCATTTAATACGTTACTTCATGCCAGCTGCAAGGGAAAAAAACTATTACAAGATGCCCAAAGGAGAGCCTGGGGGAAGAACATCTCCTGGCTCAGCTCGGTTGGGGTTTGCACTCACAAGGTGCTCCTGGAGCACCACATTTTGTAGCAAGACCAGCTCCTACGAGGAAACCGTCCTCGTGCCGTGCACTGGATGGAGGAGTGCGTTCCCGCAGGTCCCATGGGATCATTTACACCTTTCCCGAAACTTGGCAGCTCGGGCTGGGCTCGGCTGAGGAGGTACAAGTGCTGAGTGAAGCAGGACCATCCTATGCCTCTTCCATGCAGTGCCTGTTGAACTCCCTGCATGCACGTAATCGCCAGAGTTAATGCACAGAGAACATGGAAACAATTTCTTCCAGCGTACAAACACTCATGCCCTTCCAATGCACTTGTGTCGCAGTGAGAGATGGTACTTTTTGCCCTTCTTCTACCTGCAGATGTTTGCCAGTGCTGGAAGAAGGTCCTTTAAATGAAGGAATTTGCTTTTCCAAGGGCTGGAGGAGACAGTGGCATGAATCACGCAGATCCAAGCTCAGATATCACCAGAAGGCTGGTGGAAAGGCTGGAACGTGTGGGAGACTCACCCAACGAGGGGATAACGTAAAAACTACATCAAACACTGGAAAGGCAAGAAATGAGAAGACCAAACCCAGTAAGGCTGTGTATCGACAGCAGGACGTGGTCACATGCAAATGCCCCAATTCAAGCAGTTGTTCACCTCCAGGATAGTCCAGATAACGTTTCAATATATCTTTGAGCTGACAACTTGCTCCTGCTTGTCCTGTCGTCCAGGCAGCAGCCGTCGAGGACAGCCTTGGCCACGCCGAGTGACGTTTATCTGGGAGGATTTGCAGGCAACGTTCACCTGCTGATGGGCAGCTACCAGTGAAACTTCAACCCAGGGACATTTTGCACATCGAGGCGGGGGTCTCTGCCCCCAGGTATCGCACAGGACACAACTCTCGTCATGGGGACCCAGCGATGGCTGGAGAGGCCAAGGAAAAACATATGGAAATTTGGGGTGAAACAGCATTGCAAAGGTTGTATCAGGATGCTGGGACCATCCTCCGTTTTCTTGTACTGTCCTGGCCAGGCTGGTGCACCAACACGGGGAATGAGAGCTCCCTCCTTCAGCCTGTTATTATACACATGCCCCTGTTATGTATATACACACAACCTTGAATGCAACATATGTAATATCCATTATATAGTGTGCACACTATATGTATTTGGACAACATAAGCGACACAGTATTTAGTAATATTTAATAAATACATCTGTTTAAAATGGCAATTTTTCTTCCGCACATTGGCAGCAGCATTAGGTTATTAAGGCTAAAAAGACACTAGAAATCTACTGAATTTCTCCCTGCTTTTTTAACTATCACCCAGCCAATGAAGACAGCCCGAAGGCAATTTGAGTTTGGTTCAGTTACCCCAGCTTTGGGGAACACGGTGCTGCTGCGGGCATCCTTCTGGGGCCTTACAGAGCACAGTGCTGGAGGGGGGGAAGACAAAAGCAAATCAAGCTCCCTGTTTTTCCCTCCCAAAGGATATCCAAGAGTCAGGCAAGGACAAAACTCTTCCAATAGGGAGCAAATACAAGCGATATTTCCAAACCTACCCCAAAATAACACCCTGCATCCACCCCTTGTGTAACACCCTCTGGCTTTAAGTGTCTTACACAAGCCTTTACTCATTCAGTACTGAGCTGTGCCTAAACCGGGATTGACGAAGAATCCTATTTAGGAAAACACCCTTGATGAAGAAAGCACGAAGCAAAGAGAAAATTTTGCATGGATGTTTTCAAGTGTGACGGGCACGCTAACGCGGGGACCATCTCCAGGAGGGCTCCTGGGGCACTTCAGATCACTTGGTATAAAAGGGGAGCCTTGATTCAGCCCTGAACATCTGAGCTGGCTGTGCTCGAGGATTACAAGAGCTGTTTTGATCAGGGGAAAAATTGTTTTTAGCACAGGCAGCAATTAAAATAGCTCATGACTCTAAACACCTCGGGGAGCTGTCATAAAAGGAGGTGGAAAATCCCTCTTCTGGGGTCCTCTGCAACCAGAGATGAGCCTGGAGAAAGCAGAGGAGAAGACATCTTGAGGTTCATCTGGTGAAAAAGGGCAACCTGAGACATCAAGCCGGATAAGCCAATTTGATCTCAAGATGGCTGAGGAGGATCTCCGGGGTTTGAGCACCCCTTTCTCGCTCTCCTTTTCGGGCAGTGGCTTTCTCGCCCTGTACCAGATTGGGGTGGTGCAGTCCCTCCTGGAGCTGGCTCCCGAACTCCTCAAGTCCGCGTGCAAGGTCTATGGGTCGTCTGCCGGCTCGCTCATCGCTGCCGCCGTGGTGTGCGGCATCAGCCTTGGTAAGACAATTATTGCCTAGATTTCCTTACTATAGATTTTTTATTTCAAAATAGAAATAGAGGCGCTAATGCCTTAAAGCACTGGTGGGGATGCGATACTGGTGTAACTCATATCACTCACAAGGCATAAAAGAAATCTGCAGATGTTGCCACTTTTGGCAGCCACCCTGGAGCAATTTTGGGTGGCGTAAGCTGAAAAAGCCGGTAATTACTGTTTGAATGTTATCTCAGATGGTCGGGTAGATACTGCATGGGTAAATCTGGATGTACCT